ATTATATGCAGAGAGAAAGAGAGAGAGAGCAATGGCGGAGGACAGAAACAATGATGAAGCTAGGTGAAGGATTTAGAGCTAGTCATTGCATCTTTAAAAAGTTCTCTATAGAGTTTTTTTTTTTTTTTTAATAATACAAAGTTGGGGAAGGGGAAAGTGTTTGTCTCATATTTACTTTCTGCAGCTCATATTCTGCAAGTTATATTCTTGTTCTTTTCAAACTGTACCAAAACTCCCTTGTTAAGCAGTCAAGCTATAACCACAACAGCAACACCACACCCTCAAGTACAGTTGAGTTTTGTATATTGTTCTCTCATTTCAAAGAGCAAACGGTTATTTCTTGCCCTCTCTGTCCATCCCCCCACTGTCTCTAAAGGGCAAAAGCCGAGATAAGCAATTTACCAATTTACATTAACACAGAAGACTTAGTATATGATTTCAGGTTAAGGTGATTTCATAATTGCTATTGCTGTTGTTTTTGCCTATTTATATAATTTTTCCCAGAACAAAGAATTCTATGACACAACTGGTGATTATATATCACAGCTTTAGGAAAAATCTAATTACCTAAAAATTGTAAATGACTCCCATATATGCACATGCTACATTACGTGGATTTGGGGGATATCCTCACAAAATTTTCCATTAGGTAAAAATGCATTTCCTGAAATATTAATGATATCCTGGAATTATTTAAGCAATGTTAGTTTTCTCCTTTAGATTAGGTCTGTATAGTGCTAAAACCTACTAATTGTTTAATAAATACATGCTGAGTAAATCACTGAATGTATGGTACTGGAGTCTTGAGATTCAATATCAGTAATCAATAAATAAATCTTTGAGTATAAAGGAGATGTCTGAGGGAGATGTGTAGAATTTAAGGGAAGTAAGTCAAAGAAGAAAAATAAACTGAAAGGGGAACAGGAAGGGTAAAAGAATGGTAATAACTGGAAGCATCAAGAGGGATGTTTCATTCATATTCTTTAATTTTTCTCTTAGTCATATTTCAAATGAGTACTCACTACCTCATAGCTAGAGGCTACCATATTGGAGAGTGAAACTTATAAAAAAATTCCATTTATTGCAGAACGTTCTATGAGGCATCACTGCTGGGGAAACTATTAGAGTAAAAAAGAGGCAAGAAGCAAACTAAAACTTGAAGAAAATAGGCAAGAAATAAAACTGTAACATCTGTAACAGTTACATCTGTAGTTTAAAAAATGAATGAGCAGACTTAAAAAAATTATACTTTTGATTTTATATTCTATTAACATACTTGGTTTGATTTCTCGTAGACCCTTACTTTAGTGTTTCCAATTAGAATTACACTCTTTAAAATTGTGTTTGCTGCATATAAAATAATCATTGTTGTAGCAAATCTTTCAAAAACTAAAGTCAAGGCAATTTAAAGATGTGTGATGGAAAAGAGAGGGGGAGTGAAGTCAAGAAGCAACAATTAAGGAAATGTCTTAAACACCAACTCTATTTTGGTTTTCTTGAGCATTTCCACTCTTTCCACTTGTGTTAGTCACCATCCCGCAGTTTCCTTTCATGTCACTGAAAGTGAGTTAACTCAGAAAATAAAGAGGCATCTGTCTCCATGCTTTCGCTATTCTAAAAACAACTTACATTGCTCGCTACTGCGGCATAGAAGTTTAGTCAGACTCATTTGTTTTTCAAGTATCTTCCACTGCCTGCTCAGAATAAACACTATTGGAAAAAATTTACTATAGTAATCTTATGTGAGTTGTTTCCCTCTCTCTGAACTCAAAACATTTTTTCAGTATATGAGAAAGGCAAACTCAATTATGTTATACTCAACAGAATTTTATGGAATCCCCTGACAGTTCAGATAAACTACTAAATGAATGTTTATTAGAAGCATGCATGCAAACGATACATTATAGGGAGGAAACTACTCGAAGCAGTTATTCCACCTGTAAACAAAGTTTGCCTGGGAAGATTTTATTTTATTCCTAGAAAAATGGCATGGATTAGATTGAAAACTAGAGGATATGTCATTGTAATTTTGTTTGTCTGACTCTGAATCTTGTGTAACCAGGAATGTCTATTCTCATAGATTTTGAATTTAGACCAAGTAAAAACTTGACAATAGACTTGGTGCCTGCTTTTCCCAAACATCATAACTTTTGAAAAACTCATACCATCAGCTGTGGTGAAGACAGGAGATGAAGAAGATAGATAGATAGATAGATAGACAGACAGACAGACAGACAGACAGACAGATAGATAGATAGATAGATAGATAGATAGATAGATAGATAGATAGATAGATAGATAGATAGATAATGCACATAGATAAATAATTTTAATGGCAATTCTCCAGTCTCCTATGAATATCTGCACCACTCTTAACAGATTTTAAGGTTTATTTTGTCATCATTATGAAACCAAAGAATAGGTAGAACTTGCCTAAATTTTCAACAATGGTTTTAACACAAAGTATAACATTTATAACAACATATATTGTATATAATGCCCTTAACTATTTTGATATTAGTTATCTCTTCATTATTAGGATTCTAATCAATAGAAGAATTGAAGCATATCAGTTAAAAATCTGTTAAGTTAAAAATCTTAGTTTAAAATATTTTAAGGAATAGTATATCTGAGTAGAAATACATAGTCATAGAATGACAAGCAATCAGAATAACAATGGAACTTATGTTATATTAGTCCTGGGACATCATCAGATGATTCCAGATATGACCTCAATTGCTCCCCATAATATTATACCAGTGTCGTGCATATATGAGATAGTAAATATGGAAGTGTGCTTCTAAACAATTTCCTGATAGTGAATGTTTTAAAACTTATCTGTGACTCTACTTAATAAGTCTGATAAAATTGTAACTAAAAGAAGGACAAATAGGGTGCAAAAAAGAGGAAGAAGAAGGAAAATAAGAGAGAGAAGGACAAAGATAGGGAGAGAGGGAGAGTGCGAACCACCACTACCATTATCACCACCACCATCACAGCAACAACTGGGATAGCAATGTTTCAATAGGGTAGTATTATTATCATTATTATTGCTTAATCTTTATTTCCATTAGCACTCTAAGTGAGACACATGAAAGCTTCCTAAGGAAATAGATTTGAGAAAACCAACTCGCAAATCTAGTGCTTCATTATATCAGCTGCATAAATTGTTTCCTAACTGGACACTTACTCATCTTTTAAACGTACTACCAGGTATACAATGTTCAGGTGGAAAACCAGTTTAGGTTAATATGTCATGTTATCTATTAGCACGGTAGCTGATTACTAAGTAATGCAAATGTTTAAATTACCAAATAAAACCTATATCCTAATAAAATTTAACTTTAATTCTCTAGAAAATACATTTAAAAAATGCACATTTTCAGGCATCATGGAGCATTTAGACTAACATTTTCCTTCATATTGATGTCAAAGAGAAAGAATCAAAGTGACTTATATCACCAAAAGAAACAGGAAAGAAATATTATTTTAAACACCTACTCACAGCTGTTACCAAAAGTCATAGTAGTTTTACTATCATATCAAATAAAAAAAAATCAAAACATTGTTTGTCTTTATTATTTCCCGTACTGTGAGAAAGTAAGTGACCATGCTAGTCGGTGAATTTTCTTCCTTTCTAGTGCACGCGACAAGAGTAGGTTTTGGCGTTTGTTTTGCATTACTGTCATTCTACGAAGAAACTAGAAAATATATAATATTTGTATATATTAATTTCAGGCACCAAATTGCATATTTGTAATGAATATTAAATGCAACAAATTCAAAGTCATAAAGAATTAGATATACTTTTATGTTAAGATGGCTTTTCTGTTAGGCTTATCTTCCAAAATTATAGCATTGAATAAATACATTTATCTGGTTTAGATCTGAATGCCTACATTTACATATGCACATCTTCGTACAAGTCAAACATGCCCACAAATATGCTCCTTTAGTAGTCTGAGCAGTTTTGCTGACCTGTTCCGAAATAGAAAGAAAATTATTAAGTAGAAATTCCCCAAGGGGAATCAAGTTTAAGTAATTTAAATGACAGTCTTGTTTAACTTTGCATTTTTCTATAGGAAGTCATCTCCTGATCTTGTCAGAAAGAATTTTTTTTTTCCTTTGTAACTCAATAACTCCCACATAGTACATAGAATTTTGGTTAGTACTTAATGACCCATTACACATAGAACATTGTTTAGTACTCAATAACAGATAAATGAATGAACAAAAATTATTATTTAAATTCTATTAGGTTTCACATACAGCAATTCTACAAAAGAGTGCAAGGGAATAATTAAGACACAGAGTCAGTAGTTTATCAACACAGAATTTGGTTCCTTTAAATTAGGTGCTTACCGCATGTTCTCACTCATAGGTGGGAACTGAATAATGAGATCACTTGGACTCGGGAAGGGAAACATCACACACTGGGGCCTATTATGGGGAGGGGTGGTGGGGGAGGGATTGCACTGGGAGTTATATCTGATATAAATGACGAGTTGAAGGGTGCTGATGAGTTGATGGGTGCAGCACACCAACATGGCACAAGTATACATATGTAACAAATCTGCACGTTGTGCACATGCACCCTAGAACTTAAAGTATAATAATAAAAATAAATAAATAAATTAGGTGCTTAATGTTAATTTGTCAAGTGGATTTATAATTAAATTATGCAAAAATTAAGTGATAATATTATATATTATGGTCTGTAAAATAGTAAGAAAGCATCTTGCACATGTTACAAAAACAGTAAATATCCACTGTTTTGAGTTGACTTATTTATAAAAATCTCAGTTAATTCCAGTTAAGTTGAAAAGTTCTGTTTTGGAAAGATTTCCCCCCACCCTGGCTAAGAAGCATTAATGACAGCTTAATCCTGTCACATCTTTTCATGAGAATACTATGTTTTGGCAATGACCTCAATTATAATGCTAGTTTATTCTTTTTCTGAAAGATATACTATGAAACTTTTAACTACTCCACTCCCACAACAGGATGTTCTCCTCTGATTGGCAGGGAGAGTTTGAAGGTGGGCTGGCAGAGACTGTGACCGCAACTGACTGCGTTCTGCAGAATTATGGTAATGAAATTGGAAGCCAACTTTCGTGAAGCAGAAACCCTCAAGGTAATTGCCATGTACTATAACTTTTCCTCCCATTTGGAAAACAGAAATAAACAGCACAGTTTCCCCATGAATCTACTGTATTTACCAGTATTGTTTGTGGGGTATACTTTGCCAGTTGACATTACTTTAGTAAACTTATTATTATATGGTGAACACCTGCCCCATAAATATAGAATAGAAAAGCTATATTATATTTGTGTTTGGTGAAATGAAGTGTTACCCAAACTCAGATGTGGTGAAGACCTTTTGTGCTCTCTATATTTATGGGAGCTACATGCCACTTAACATATACCAAATTTGGTAAGCAAACAGGCTTGACTCAAAGTTCAACTTTACATGATCTTTGTGACCGGAGATTGGGTCATTCAGTTTCTAACGTATAGTTTCAACTAAGTTGGAATTCTAAGTATGTTTTAAATTTTAAAAATAAAATGTTAAGTTTCTTACTGAATAGCTAAATATTGAATTGAAAGACTACTTCTACACTAGATTGATGGAGTTTTCTCTTATTAGTATAGAAAACCATCAGAAGTTTATTTAGATTGGGTATTACTTAGGAAGATAGCATTAGAAAGTACAGCCTTATATTTTCCTATAGCAACAGGATGTAATGGTGAGAAAGAACAGAAGCCAGAGATCTGGACTTGTATTTCTGCTACTTTCTGTGTTCTTAGACAACTCACTTCAACTCTCTGAATCCTAATTCTTTCTTTAAAAATACAACTCTATTCTGTAAGTCTGTTTTTTAAGTATTTAGAAATAACATGTATAAAGACCAAAAACAATCTCTGGTATAGAAAATTAAAACACATTGTTACCATGATTGCTGTTAATACTACTACTCCTGTACTTTTAGTAAAATATCTTATAACTTAATTATTCTAATATCACACTTTCCATTTGTCTTATTGTGAAGATGGAAATAAAGTTATAATTGCAACCATCAACAACAAAGACATTGTTGAATGTCTACTATGTCCAATTGTAGCTGGATGACAGGACTACAAGAATTGTAAAACCAACACGATGTCCAAACCTCTTTCCTCAAGTCAGCTGGTATTGCCACTGAAAAGGAATTTAGTCTGAACCACCTGGAAGAAGGTATAGCACTAGAACTGAGGGTCAAATACCTTGAATTGATTATCAACAATTTCTTCATTTTTCAAATAAAAAACTGTGACCTATGAATGTAAAGGTAACTGAGAAACAGTTACTGATTTATACACACACACACACACACGTATATATTCCAGATAAATGTAATCTTGGTATTGCTAATTTCATGTTGTACTGCCAAGTTATAAAACAAAACATAAACCAATCTAGTGCGCCCATAAATAGAGTCTGGTCATAATTCTCTGCTCTCCTCAGACTGGAGAAAACAATGTTACCAGATAAAAATATAGTGAATGACTGTCTTAACAGCCAAATTGAGGAACCTGTGTCCCCAGTCAAATTCAATGTGAATTTCCTTACTTTTTATTTCATTTAGAAGCAGAATTTTCCATGAAGAATATACTGTAAAGAATGTCTTTATATTATACTCACATTTTTAGTCATACTCATGTGCAATGGAATATTCTATAACAATTTTTTAAAAATCTGAGGTAGCTTTACATGAACTAACGTGAGCAAATCCCAAGACATGTTAGGGGAATAAAACAAGATTTTACAACAATGAGTATATAATTCTATTATTTTTTTCTTGTTCTGGAACTTAGCATGTTTAATTTAATTGTACATTTTATTGTTGTGAAAACCACATTACATAAAGTTTACCATTTTAACCATTTCTAAGTGTGTGGTTCTCTAGTGTTGAGTATATTCACATTGTTGTGAACAAGATCTCCAGAACTCATTCATATTGCAAATCTGAAACTTTATACCCATTAAACAATAATTCCCCTTTTCTCCCAAGCTCTGATAACCACCATTCTACTTTTTGTTTCCATGAATTTGACTACGTTAGATATCTCATATAAGTGGAATCATACAGTATTTGTCTTTTAATGACTGATTTATTAAACTTAGTATAATGTCCTCAAGGTTCATCCATACTGCAACATGTGACAGGATTTCCTTTCTTTTTAAGACTGAATAAAATTCAATTTTATGTATACGCCATGGTTTGTTTATTCATTCATCCATTGATGGACATTTGGGCTGCTTCCATCTCTTGGCTAGTTTCATTTTTTAATTGAAAACATATGAGATATGTAATGTCTACATCCATGTATAATTGGATATTTATGATACAACATATATATATAAACATTTTACCAAAAAATAAGTTTTGAGAGTAGACGAAGATATCATCTTAATTTATTACCAACATTATTTCTCTAGAGGTATAACCACTTTTATCAGTTCATTGTATATCACAAAAATATTTTTTTAAAATGTATGCATCTATGTACATTTAAAATTGAATTATGTATGCTATGATATTGTATTTATTATTCTATTTTTTAAAACTAGCACTCCTTTAGAGTAATATTTGTATCAGTAAATAGAACTTTACCTCATTTGTTTTAACTGTTTATTAAATATATGATTATTCATGATTATGTGGACTGCTTTCACTATTGTGTTATCATTTAACTATTTTTGAAGTATAACACATATACAGAAAAGTATACACACCAGTTAATGTACTTTCACAAACTAAATTCACCTAGATCTGCAAATAGATGATTACCAGCCCCAGAAACTTCCCAGTCACTACTAACTCTGAGTGGCAACCACTCTCCTGACTTCTAACAACATAAATTAGTGTTGTCTCTTTTTGTACTTCATGTAAATTGAACCATACGAACAACATTCTTTTTTGTGTTTTATTTCTTTTATTCAACGTAGTTTGTGATCCTTATTCCTACTGCTGCAAATACTGGCAGTTAGTTTTTTTCATTCTTATTTCCATACATGCCATTGTATGAATATAAAACAGTTTGCTTATTCATTCTGCTTTTGATAACCATTCAGAAAATTTTGATGTGGGCTACTATAAATAGGGCTGCTGTGAGCAATATTGTTCATTTATTCTGGTGTACACACTGCGGTTGGTTCTACAGCTGGCAGTGAAATTGTTGAGTCAACAGAGCATGTACAGATTTAGCTTTAGAAGATCCTGACAAATAATTTTCCAAAGAAAATGTACTAATTTGAATTCCCATCACAGGGTGTAAATAAATAGTTTTATCAGAGGTGTGTGAACCAGAGCAACTCCATCTTAAACAGCAGCTGAGTAAAAGGAGGTTGAAACCTACTTGGGCTGCATTCCCAGACAGTTAAGGCATTCTAAGTGACAAGATGAGATAGGAAGTCAGCATAAAATACAGGTCTTAAAGACCTTGCTGATAAAACAGTTCGCAGTGAAGGAGCCAGTCAAAACCCACCAAATCCAAAATGGCAAGAAGACTCACTGCTACACTCCCACCAGCACTATGGCATGAATAATCCACCCCTTGTTTAGCGTATAATCAAGAAATAGCCATAAAAATGGGCAAACAGCAGCCCTCGGGGATGCTTTGTCTACGGAGTAACCATTCTTTTACTCCTTTACTTTCTTAATAAACTTGCTTTCACTTTGCACTGTGGACTCACCCTGAATCCTTCCTTGCCCAAGAACCCTCTCTTGGGGTCTGGATAGGGACCCCTGTCCTGTAACAGTTTCTTCATTTTATTATCACATTTAGTATTTTCTACCATTTTTATTATAGTCATTGGTGAATCTACAATAGTATCACATTGTGACAGATATACGTGTGCTATAATATGCATGCACCATTTCTAGGAATGCATACTGCACTTCAATGATTGCCTATGGTCAGGGAACTAGAATTTGAATGTGAAGTATATAGTAAAATTCACTTCTCACTTTATAGTTTTTGATACTATTTGAAATATTTTAACATGTGCTATATTATCTTTTTAAAGTTTTCCTTTCTTTCATTTCCTTTTTAATTTCTAAGAGAAAAGTAATTTAAGTCTTTGGTATTAGTCTAAAAACCAGTTCACTTTTTATCCGAAGGCCACTGGGAGTTGGACAATCACATGGGAAGTGTAAAGCTCAAATTCTCTTGCCAGCCCTTAAGTTTTTGTGGACAGAGCAAGGAGATGGGAAACAGAACAGAAGTGAGACTGAAACTCCAGAGTAATGTGAAAAGCCATATATTCATGGCCCTCCCAAATATCTCTTACTCTTCTCTTTACTATCTAATTATTACTGATGTTGAAAGTTTCTTTTTTTAAATATATGTATATGTTTTTGTGTGTGTGTGTGTGTGTCTGTGTGTGTGTGTGTGTATTCCACTGGAGTTCAGCCTAGAGGTATAGAAGCAACTGTCTCTGCCTCCCTGATACTGGCCTATATTTTCATACTGGCCTGACCTGAAGTGGAAATCAAGAGAAAAGTCATCAAGCTGACATATAGGTATGTGACCAAAATTCCTTGTGCTAGTAAAAGAGAAAGAAAAAATAAAGCAAGGAGAAAGTATAGAATTAAGAAGTATGATTTCAAGATTTATTCTTTGATTGAATAAAATTACCCTCAAATGACTCAACTAACAGATGACTAAGGTTTTACAAGTTGTATTGTTAGGGAACTCATACTTGGAAATCAGCTACCTGTGATTCCCTCAAGAACCTACTGGGCCAAAGCTCATATGATTCTTAAGTACTGTTCAGGTTGCAGAGCCTTCCTTGTGCAGTGGGATAGTGTGTTCCCTTGTGAGTGTAACAGTAAAGATCAGTGACAGGAGATGGGTCAAAGCAATGCATTAATACCACCAGTAGAGAAGAATTCCCCATTAATTCTTTTCACTTTATTGGACTGTTTCTGTTTTCCCTAACATTGTTTGTTGTGTAAGATAGAATGGTTAGGTTTATAATTAGAATTTGGCAGGGGTGCTGTGAGGACTCACATCTGAATTTGATTAAGGGAAATGCATTTTACCCAGAGATGCTGGCCCTAGAATAGGATGACTTAACAGCATGTCTTT